ATGACTGGGGGGGGGGAGGGAGGAGGGGGATAGGAAGGTTCCTTTAATTTCAAACGTTTCTAGCTTTATCGCTTCCACTTTATTGCTGACAGTGAACTTGGTGTAACTTCATCTTCGAGCTTTGCCAGATAATCGCTTGGCTTGTGCAGCTGCAAAGGTCGAGGCGTACGGGACGTTCTGTAGTCTTGCAGATAAGAGGACCGTGGACTCTAGACCAAGCCGCGTTTGGCTGCCCACACCAAACTTGTCAGAGGACGTCTCTTAAAGTTGTACTACAACCAAAACACATCGGTATAGACCGAACGGGCGTGTTTTTTGTACACTTGGGTATCACGTTTATGTTGCTATGATACAATTTTGGTATAATGTCATCACCATAACATCATGGGGGTGGAGCACACTGGTTGCTATGGGTTACCTTTAGAGCTGCAGCTAACGATTATTTTCAAAATTGATTAGTTAGCCGATTATTAAGTTCGGTTAATCGGATAAAAATAAAATAAATGTAAAAAATGGCTCCAGTGATGGACTACTAGTTTGTATTGAGGTTGTAGTCCATCACAGGAGCAAACTTGGAGCGGTGGAAGTAAAAAAGGAAAAAAAAAAAAGTGTGGTGTGCAATATAGTGAAATTAAAAGTGTAAAATTATACAGCAATTAATGGAGAATGGCACCGGCTATAGAGGACTACAAATCCCAGCAATAGTACATTATGCAGCACAATGCAGAATACCGCCAGCTATAACGTACTATTGCTGGGATTTGTAGTCCTCTATAGCTGGTGGTATTCGGCATTGCACCACTGTATAATGTACTATTGCTGGGTTTTGTAGTCCTATATAGTTAGTGGTATTCCGCATTGCGCTGTATAATGTATTATTGCTGGGATTTGTAGTCCCCTATACAGCTCAATGCAGAATACCACCAGCTATATAGGAGTACAACAAATCCCAGCAATACATTATACATAAAGTATATAATGTATTGCTGGGATTTGTAGTCCTCTATAGCTGATGGTATAATATACAGCACAATGTACCATCAGCTATAGAGGACTACAAATCCCAGCAATACATTATAGAGCACCATGTGTGGGAAAGTACAGGCTTACCTGGGAAGTCTTGCAGCAACTGGTTTCTGAGATCAGGACTGTCTGTCGGCGGCTGTCATCCCCCCCCCACACCTGCTCCTCCTTACTTCTTCTCCCCGCGTCCCTGTGCCGATCGTGGATGTGCGTGGGCGGTAAGTGTGAGGCAGGGAGGAGGTGCGGCATGTGTAGCGTGGATGCGGCCGGGTGGGTCTGGCAGCGGCGAGCGTGAGGTGGGGAGGAGGTGTGGCGCGCAGCGTGTTTGGAGCGGTGAACAGGGCCAACCAATCGGAAGCCGATTAATCGATGATTGAAAAAGTTGACAACTTTTTCAATAATCGATTATGTCGATTAGTTGTTGCCGCCCTAGTTACCTTGCACTCTATATGTTTGTATCAACTACATGTCATTTGTCACCCTGAGGAACCAGCGAGGCCCCGAACGTTGTCCGGTCAACCTTGTGACATCATGCGTTCACAATAAAACACGTTTTTTTTCTTTTCACGGCTGCAGCGAGCGGCTCAATGGACTCCTGTGTGATGGTCTGGAACATGAAGCCTCAGATGAGAGCGTACCGCTTCGTCGGCCACAAGGACGCCGTCATGTCTGTCGAATTCTCGCCCTCCGGGCACCTTCTTGCGTCGGCATCCCGGGATAAAACCGTACGGCTCTGGGTCCCCAGCATGTGAGTATAGGAGAGAGATGTTATTTATGGACATTACACTTTAGCTTTCACTGCGCCACAGCTCCACATCCGGAGCAAAGAGTAAAACCTGGATACGGGGGGGAGCACGGGACTCAGTCCATGTGACAGCTTTGGACAGTTGTGCTGATTGGCCCAGGGCTGTCACATGGGGCCGGGCAGACCGTACCCAATTTTGTGAAAAATCCAAAAAGTTGGCTTGGAAATAACACAAAGCTTCTTTTTCTCACACGGAATGGAGTAGTGGGGGAGGAGGATAGAAAGCTATAAGCTATGTAACTATCCCCCCCCATCACCCATTACTTTGCCCTGGATGAACAAAGCATGGTGTCACCTACATTTTGGGGAAATTACTTTGTTTGGCTCAGCAGCCCTTGGAATGCTTCCATACTCGCCAATCACACCTCGATTAGTGTCCGTGGTGCCGTTGTTCTATCAAAGATTGTGACTGGGTTGGAATGTGTGACCGGTCACGTGGTCACACATTTTAACGTAACCCCGCCCACTTTTTCTGCTGTAAAATATGTGGCCGGCAAAATGTGAAGAATTCCAACGATTTCTCAGCTGTTCCAGGGCAGATCGGCATCGCAGATCGTATGTGCAGGAGAACCGATCTGCCCCGGAACAGCTGATCGGTCCGGAGATGTCACTGCTATCGGACTTTGTAGAATGTGAGATCGCAGTCGCAAAGTCGGATAAAAGTGACATTTCAGGACTGTTCAGCTGTTCCAGGGCAGATCGGTTTTCCTGCACATACCATCTGCGATGCCGATCTGCCCTGGAAAAGTTGGAATTCTTCATTTTTTTTGCACATATTCCACCGCCGAAAAAGTGGGCGGGATCACGTTAAAATGTGTGACCACACCACTAGTCACACATTCTAACGCAGTCACAAACTTTGATAGAACACCGGCTGTCAGACAATTTATGACGGCTCCCTGTGATCACCATATCATAGTATGTCTTGATGTAACAGCGCCACCTGCAGGCAAAATCAATATATGCAGAGAGAGCGCTGTATGAAACGTGAGCGTGCGCCATTGCTGTCCTCTGCTGAAAATACAGATTGCCTGACTGTCATGCTGATCCTCGCACATCAAACCTTTCTGAGTCACTGACCGGGAACAAGCTATTGTGACTTTAGTTGTTGCATGTTTGTTCCAGGTCAGTGACTGAAGCATTGAAATTATGCGCTCAACATAACAGCCAGGCGACTATAGTTATCAGGGGAATGGAAAATGTAGTATTGCCTCAAGAAATGAGCTCCTGCTTGGATGGTCCATGTAAAGGTGACCCTTTTGGTGTTCAGTGAAATGCTACCTTACAATGGTGGTCAGTGGTAGAGTCAGTAAGAGAAGGGCCCCATTACATTGGTGGTCAGTGGGAAGAATGCTCCTTACATTGGGGGTCAGTGGGGGGAATGCTCCTTACATTGGGGGTCAGTGGGAAGAATGCTCCTTACATTGGGGGTCAGTGGGGGGAATGCTCCTTACATTGGGGGTCAGTGGGAAGAATGCTCCTTACATTGGGGGTCAGTGGGGGGAATGCTCCTTACATTGGGGGTCAGTGGGAAGAATGCTCCTTACATTGGGGGTCAGTGGGGGGAATGCTCCTTACATTGGGGGTCAGTGGGAAGAATGCTCCTTACATTGGGGGTCAGTGGGGGGAATGCTCCTTACATTGGGGGTCAGTGGGAAGAATGCTCCTTACATTGGGGGTCAGTGGGGGGAATGCTCCTTACATTGGGGGTCAGTGGGAAGAATGCTCCTTACATTGGGGGTCAGTGGGGGGAATGCTCCTTACATTGGGGGTCAGTGGGAAGAATGCTCCTTACATTGGGGGTCAGTGGGGGGAATGCTCCTTACATTGGGGGTCAGTGGGAAGAATGCTCCTTACATTGGGGGTCAGTGGGGGGAATGCTCCTTACATTGGGGGTCAGTGGGAAGAATGCTCCTTACATTGGGGGTCAGTGGGGGGAATGCTCCTTACATTGGGGGTCAGTGGGAAGAATGCTCCTTACATTGGGGGTCAGTGGGGGGAATGCTCCTTACATTGGGGGTCAGTGGGAAGAATGCTCCTTACATTGGGGGTCAGTGGGGGGAATGCTCCTTACATTGGGGGTCAGTGGGAAGAATGCTCCTTACATTGGGGGTCAGTGGGGGGAATGCTCCTTACATTGGGGGTCAGTGGGAAGAATGCTCCTTACATGGGGGGGGGGCAGTGGGAAGAATGCTCCTTGTCCTCATTGTTCTAGGTAATGTACATCTCCCCTGGTTACCCCCACCCCCACCCCCTTGTATGTCTCAGCACATTGTATAGAACTGAGAAGGTGTTTTGTGATTTTGTTGCAGAAAAGGAGAATCTACCGTGTTTAAGGCTCACACCGGCACTGTGCGAAGCGTCAGCTTCTCTGGGGACGGGCAGTCTCTGGTCACCGCGTCCGATGATAAGACGGTGAAGGTGTGGACGCTTCACCGGCAGAAATTCCTCTTCTCTTTGAACCAGCATATCAACTGGGTGCGCTGTGCCCGGTAAGTGGTACCAGTCCGTGCACCAGGGGCACCAGCGGTATCTAATATCGCATCCGATGCAACCCGTGTGCTTTTGTTAAATCCTATCTCCAGTCAGTGTAAAAAGTCTGTACGTGTGACGCCCCGGGCCGATCTTCAACCAAACTTCTTCTAAATGAATATACGCAGCTGAAGAGGGGGGAGTTTCCAGTTCTCACAACCAGCGGTCACTGTTGCCCTTCCTGTAATGCACGGCGACCAGACGTGTAACATCCTCATTGTTGTCCCAAAAGGCTGACCGGGTGTCCTTACGTCGGTGGGCGCCAACAGACCGGCAGTAACAAAAAACAGTGTATGGTTCTGTAACTTTCCACAGAACTGCTCGCCATCGGCACCGGAGTCACGGGGAATGCGCCAGCGGGCTTATTTAAAAAGACAGAGGGGGTGTGGTTTTATTGTGGCAACAATAGAAATGGGCACATTACATTTGTTTAAATGCCTCTAGATAGGCAGAGCCAGCTGTCACTCACGCAGGTGGGCGGATCCCGTCATCTATGTCGGGATCCGCTCCGGCGTCTCAGTATATAGGGAGCTGTAGCTCGCGGTATACTGAGCTTAGGGTGACGGGAGGACGCTAGTTTGTGTCCTCCCGTTACCCTAAGGAGAACTATGGGGAAAAACACTGACCCCATAGTTCTCCTCCTTTTTTTAAAGTGAATTTAAACCGGAGTCAGACCTAAATCTCTGCAATCGGCAATGCCAAGCGTCCTGCTGATTGGAGAACTTTGACTCAGCAGATGGCATGCCAGACCACTGCAGAGATACCACTGCTTCCTTTCATGCAGCATGCTGGCAGGGGACAAGCTTTTCTCCTCAGGCTGCGGCTGCTTTCCAAAGCAAACAAATTTTGAAGGCCTCATTCAGACAGCAAATGGGGGCGGAAAGGCGGCGGTCTGAGGCAACTAAATAGCTGCGGCCAGTTTGTGTGCTGCCAGAGTCACTGGACACAGGCGGTCTGTGTCCAGGGCCGGTCAGAGGTTCTATTCGTATGTCACTGCTTTGATTGAGTGAGCTGCTGGAACTTGTAGTTCTTCCTCCGCTGTCTGTTCACTTTCTCCATGTTGTCTCTTTAAATGGCACTAGAACAATATCTCCTCTTTGTACAGGTTCTCCCCGGACGGAAGGCTCATTGTGTCCGCCAGCGATGATAAAACCATAAAGCTCTGGGACAAAACCAGCAGAGAATGTATCCATTCATTCTGTGAGCAGGCCGGGTAAGTCGGTGTATGTAACCCCGACCATGAACCACTTCATTGATTCCAGCGATCACATAAAGCAGCTTTTGAACCGTTCATCCTTTCCTGCATAAGTCTTTGCCCCTCTAGACTGGAGAAGGGCGTTCACCTGTTCCTGTACCGTGCTCTGTAGCTGCAAGCACTGCGGAGCAATTATTTCTCAAAGTTCCCCGCAGAACACTAAAGTCCTTTTCTCAACACCTCGGCTTCTCCTACTCCCTCTATCAGAGCTCCTGCTCTGTGATTACATTGGAGATTTTTGAAGGCTGCCAAATTACTGCTTGGAGGGGGGAGACGGGGGAAGCTGAGCTACTTAGTCATTGGCTGGGAGGGGAGAGCGGGGTGATGTGAACTACTGGGAGGGTAAGCAGAGAGAGCTAAGCTGCTGAGTGACTGCTGCTAGGAGGGGGGAGCAGGAGGAGCCGAGCTGCTCGGAGGGAGGAGCGCTATGAGCTAAGCTGCTGGGTGACTGCTAATGGAAGGGTGTAGCAGGAGGAGCCGAGCTGCTCGGAGGGAGGAGCGCTATGAGCTAAGCTGCTGGGTGACTGCTGCTAGAAGGGTGGAGCAGGAGGAGCCGAGCTGCTCGAAGGGAGGAGCGCTATGAGCTGAGCTGCTGAGTGACTGCTGCTAGAAGGGGAGAGCAGGAGGAGCCGAGCTGCTCGAAGGGAGGAGCGCTATGAGCTGCTGAGTGCTGCTAGAAGGGGGGAGCAGAAGGAGATGAGCTGCTCGAAGGGAGGAGCGCTATGAGCTGAGCTGCTGAGTGACTGCTGCTAGAAGGGGGGAGCAGGAGGAGCCGAGCTGCTCGAAGGGAGGAGCGCTATGAGCTGCTGAGTGCTGCTAGAAGGGGGGAGCAGAAGGAGATGAGCTGCTCGAAGGGAGGAGCGCTATGAGCTGAGCTGCTGAGTGACTGCTGCTAGAAGGGGGGAGCAGGAGGAGCCGAGCTGCTTGGAGGGAGGAGCACTATGAGCTGCTGAGTGCTGCTAGAAGGGGGGAGCAGGAGGAGCCGAGCTGCTTGGAGGGAGGAGCACTGTGAGCTGAGCTTCTGAGTGACTGCTGTTAAGAAGGGGGGAGCAGGAGGAGCCGAGCTGCTCGGAGGGAGGAGCACTATGAGCTTAGCTGCTGAGTGCTGCTAGAAAGGGGGGAGCAGGAGGAGCCGAGCTGCTCGGAGGGAGGAGCACTGTGAGCTGAGCTGCTGAGTGACTGCTGCTAGAAGGGGGGAGCAGGAGGAGCCGAGCTGCTCGGAGGGAGGAGCACTATGAGCTTAGCTGCTGAGTGCTGCTAGAAAGGGGGGAGCAGGAGGAGCCGAGCTGCTCGGAGGGAGGAGCGCTATGAGCTGAGCTGCTGAGTGACTGCTGCTAGAAGGGGGGAGCAGGAGGAGCCGAGCTGCTCGGAGGGAGGAGCACTCTGAGCTTAGCTGCTGAGTGACTGCTGCTAGAAGGGGGGAGCAGAAGGAGATGAGCTGCTCGGAGGGAGGAGTGCTATGAGCTGAGCTGCTGAGTGACTGCTGCTAGAATGGGGGAGCAGGAGGAGCCGAGCTGCTTGGAGGGAGGAGCACTGTGAGCTGAGCTGCTGAGTGACTGCTGCTAGATGTGGGGAGCAGGAGGAGCCGAGCTGCTTGGAGGGAGGAGCACTGTGAGCTGAGCTGCTGAGTGACTGCTGCTAGAAGGGGGGCGCAGAAGGAGATGAGCTGCTCGGAGGGAGGAGTGCTATGAGCTGAGCTGCTGAGTGACTGCTGCTAGATGGGGGGAGCAGGAGGAGCCGAGCTGCTCGGAGGGAGGAGCACTGTGAGCTGAGCTGCTGAGTGACTGCTGCTAGAATGGGGGAGCAGGATGAGGTGAGCTGCCTCTTAAATGCTGGGAATGGATAGCAGGAGCTGAGCTGCTGGGAGGGGGGGAGCAGGGTGATCGGAGGTTCTGAGTCACAGCTGGTTGAACAAATCAGGGTGAGGTAAGTTGAGGGAACAGGGTAAGACCAGCTGCCGAGTCACTGCTAGGGTGGAAGAACAGGGTGTTCTGAATCAGTGCTGGTAGGGGAAGCAAGGAGAAGCTGAGCTGCTATGAGGAGGACTTCAGAGTCTGCTTCTATTGTAAACTTTGAAGATGAATTGCTCCTCAGTGTCTGCAGCTACAGCAGTCAGTGGGGGCTTCTTTTAAAGCTCATTTACTTCTAAGGTGTGTGTGTTATAAATAAATAAATAAATATATATATATATATTTGAATGTCCATAGCCTGGGCACGGATGAATTTTAAGACATTTAAGGGCTACAGATGTCATGTGTAGTGTCCTTTTTGTTTTAGTGGTGTGAATTTGATGGGGGAATGTATTCAGGCCGGACATCTTCAATATGATGGCATTACTCCTGAGACTCTGTAGCATTGTTTCTGTTGTCTCCAGAAGCAGCCTGACCCTCTTTTTGTCGCAGATTTGTGAACTACGTGGACTTTCACCCCAGCGGGACCTCTGTGGCTGCAGCCGCAACTGATAACACAGTGAAAGTTTGGGATATTCGAATGAACAAACTCCTCCAACACTACCAAGGTAAAAATAATATTCACTGCCTCAGGCTCCGCTCACCGTATGATTCACAGCAGTCTTTACGAGTGCTTAAATCAGACCCATGTTTCATGTTGCACCCATATTTAGGGTGTCTCATGGTCTACCCTCACCCCCCACTATCATAGCATCGTTTTGATTGACAGGCCAGGAGACTCCTGGTCTTTCCCGCCCATCCTGGCCTAACACAGCGGTGGGCAAACAAAGAGGTTCAAGGTGCATGGCCAGGTTTAGTGCGCCCCTCATACTCTCCTGGCCTGTCACTGCAAAGCGTTAGGCCATGGGTGAGCTAACTCCGGCCCTTCCAGCTTTGGCGAAACTACAAATCCCATGAGGCATTGCAAGTTTCTTACAGGCGTGACTCCCAGTGGCAGATGCATCATGGGATTTGTAGTTTCACCACAGCTGGAAGGGCCGGAGTTTGCCTCTCCCCGGCTTAACGCTTTGCAGTGGCAGGCCAGGAGACTATGAGGGGCGTGTTATACATTAGTTCGAGCTGTTGCCATATTTGTCACTTCTTATTCTCAAGAAATATTTATTGCAATTCGTAATAATTTGGGGTTCAGCGTCATTACTATAAGGACCTCAGACGATAGGACTGAGTCTATGGGGGTCTCATGTCTCTCTCTTGTCATGCAGTCCATAGCGGGGTGGTGAACTCGCTCTCCTTCCACCCCTCCGGTAATTATCTCATCACCTCTTCCAATGACTCCACCCTGAAGATCCTGGACTTGCTGGAAGGACGATTACTGTACACACTGCATGGACATCAGGTGAGTGACGCCTGAACTCCGGCAGATAGAAAACACACACTGAGGCAGCTCTGTAGCTCTTCGTACATCTAGGATTACATTTAGAATTGGCCATGAATAGCTCTCTATGTGATGGCACATTGGAGGTGACAGGTTCTCTTTTATTGAAGCCCTTGTGTCACCTTTCCACTTCACACACTGCACTTGAATAGCTTCAGCCAGGGAATGACAGCTGCCGGCGACACAATTCTGCAGCCGGTAGCTGAATGTAAACAGCGGGCATTAGGCGGGTGCAGTAGCCAGCTTGCTATTGGCTATTTCAAGTGCTGCACCGCACTTGATTTTTGCTGACCGTGGAATCTGTGTTTTTGATTTGTCGCCATGTTGTGTGCAGGGCGCCGTGACTTGTGTCAGGTTTTCACGAGAAGGAGATTTCTTCGCCTCCGGGGGATCCGACGAACAAGTGAGTGCAAGTGTAAGAGGAATAGTTGGAATACCCGTCAGCGTGTGTTCACGTGTGCGTGTCCCGTGTGCACGTACCTGGATTGTGTTTGCATGCCGTGCTCTGGGTGCTGATGTGATGGATGTAGAGCAATGTGTCTACACCGAGATCTTCATATCTCAGGCCTGCAGTCCTAAAAAAACAGAAGTCTCCTTCCTTATAAGTGTGACCACATGAGTGTTACTATAGAACAATAGCTAAGAACTTCCTCATTACATAGTTGTGCAACAGGAGCCCAGAGCAAGGTGTGTGTGTGGTGAAGGAAGTCGGGATTGCACAGAAATGAAATGCAGAATATTTTGTCATTGTACTTCCTGTGCTGGTCATAAAATGTGACTTCAACTCCCCCATTAGACCCATTGTATGTGTGAGAGGCCATTCTGGGTCCAGTTAGGATAAGTGGTGATACCGGGGCCTCCATTGTACTGATGGGGCCCCGCAAGTGTTAAAGCGACTCTGTGACAGTTTATACCCCCCCCCGTGCCAGGAACATCCCGCCCGCAGCA